TTCAGAACAATACGTAGAACGAATTTATATTTTAAAAACTTAATAATAATGTTTCTAATTGTAAGTAAAATTATGTCGGAGCTTAACATCTAAGTTTGAATAGTTTTACCGAAATACATTATAACTTTACAATGTTATAAACGAATATTATGGTGATCTCGCGATCTCAATTACGGAAATAGATCGCAACGATGGAGTAGCAGTAGCAACTAAACAATCGCATGTGTTTGGAGAAGGTTTCCTGCGGCCTTGGTCGATGGTTATTTCGGACGGGTGGCCTATCCCACGAGCATTGTGTATCGTAAATTCGATTGATCGAGGAAGGTTTATCGACGGCACACTGTGCGCCCATTGTGATTGAGAAAAATTGCACTTGCAGAATAAGCGACATTTCTAGTTTCGTATACAACTACACGTTTTAACTGAAAGTTTACAACTCTAAAGTGACAGTTCAAAGAATGTCCACAATAACGTAGCTTGACTTTCTGAAGCGTTTGAGAACAGCTATTGTTTATGGAGCAGGTGAAATGAATTGGTTCTTCGGAGACGTGCATTTAGATGTCGGTTACAGTTATTATCGAGAGTTTCGAGAAGAAACGGCGGGAATTGTGCCAAAAACGCATTCACGGGGCATCCTCGCGTGTTCACCTGCCTAGATGTTCGCGTGTCGCCGATTATATAAATGACTAGCGGTATTTTGGAGCGGTGACTTTGGGGAGAAAGAATATAAAGGCGAATTTCAGAGTTCAATTAAATATACCTTTGGCACGCGTTTCTACAAGTATTTTGTTAATTTTTTGAAAAGTGGGAAATTGTTTAAAAAAATATAGAAACTTTAAAAAAAATGTCGAGAGATGAAATTAAGATTTCCAGTTGCGAACGATGACGTAACACATATTTGCGATCGCGAAGATCCATAAATTCGCGTCGACAGGTATGAACGTGCGGTACATCGTAGCGATGATGTCTGTGGTTTTGTCACCTAAGTGTAATCTTAAGAGTACGCTGCCAAGGCAACTATCTAAACAACGAAGTGCTGTAACGTAGGTTCTGTGTTCGTTGTAGCGGGTTTATTGTTTTCAGCATTTAAACAGCGTTTAAGTTTCAACGATTTATTAGCCGATCTATCATTTTCGTAAATTACTAAGAGATCCACCGCGAGAAATGTGGCGAGAATTTATTTTTGATGTTGTCTTCGACATTGAAAAGCCACATTCCTTAAAGAATTGTGTACCTTTTATATCATTAAAACAGTTTCTATGATTTTATTTTATTTTATTTATATTATATATTAAAATATATATTAAAATATCGATAAATGCACTAAGAAAAATTTCTAGTTGAAAATGAATAAATCAGAAGATCATCAATCAGAATTTTCATTATCTTAACTGAAATTATAATAGATTCAACTAGAAAATTCAGTTTTGTCCATTTTCAACCAGAATTCCAATTAACACAACCAGACTCGTTTCTTAAGGTAGATATTTCGTGCCTGATAATGTGTTAAAAATATTTTGCAGTTACTCTTTGACATAAATAATAGTTCAGCCATAGTTCCGTTAAAAAGTGGAACACATTTCTGCGATACGTACGTATTTATGTCCACTGTAATTAACTTCGTTATCTTCATGACTTTTATCTACTGGTGCAATTAACAAAATGCACCTGAAAACTAGTCCATATTGCATATTTGTGCATTTCGTTAGTGACGTTAGTAAACGTTAACAAAACTTTTACAGGCTGCTTACAGATTTTTGGATTTTTGGTCATAATTATATTTGGTCATTTACATTTAGAATAATTAGCCAACAATTTATCGTATTTATTATATATGTCAGATTTACTATTATACATTTAATAAATACATAAATGCGATTCTTTTTTAAATTACCTTATTTATCTTATAATTTATATAACAATAATAATTTTGTATACAATCAAAATTATCTGGAATTAAATAATGTTGATTTTAACATTTATTTAACATTTTTTAATTAACGTTTTATTTAATATTTTTAAATATTTTTTATTGTTATCCTGACAATGTAGAGCGCTAATATATAAATCGCTATTAATTCTTGCCTAGACAAATACGGTCTCTCAAATCCAGAAACCACACTCATTGAATTTAATTAATACGGAATTACACACAAAAAGAAAGATAATATTAGGTGTTGGAATTAATTCGTAGCGTTTTACAAGTGATGGGAAGTACTTTCATTAATGTATTTTTTAATGCTCATGTGAAATAAATAACATTCTTTCATTAAAAAACGCTACGAATTAATTCCAACACCTAATAATAAATCAAGTTTAAATAATTAAATAAGTCTCATTGAAAAGGTCATCAATTAATTATTAATTACTACGGATCTTATTTGTCCAGAAAAAAATTGCTCATACATAAGAATTAAAAAATAAATTAAAAAATAAAAATACGAATTCTATTTGTGTCGAGTTCGCGTCGGAATCACATGTTTCCGGTACCACGAGTATAGTAGTGGCTATCTCCAAAGGCCGGCTATTGTAAATAAACGGGGGACAAACGAGGACGCGACGAATGCAAGAGAGATAGAGACGCGGGGGTACGGAAATGCAGTCCTCGGTGAATGAATGGATAAAATCAGGAAGATCCCCCGTGTCCCCTGGCCCGATTACATCGTACCCAAACGAGACACGCTGCTCCCCGCTCGTTCTCTCGTCGCTATACCGATGCGGTAATATCGCTTCGCAACACGAGATTAGTTCCGCAGAGTTAGCCGGCCGGCCGACGAGCAGCCTTGAACCAAATTATGGGCTGCCGTTGTTTAGTTGTTTAGCCATCGTATGCCATAGAGAAATCCCGGGGAGCGCCTAAGGCGACGCTGCAGGCGCGGTTCGATCGCGATCTCACTTTCCGCTTCTTTAATCGACGCTACTTAGACGCCGATTATTTTTAGCTAACCGGTAATCGATGAATATCTTCTGCATTCATTTTATTGTACTAAACGTGCATGTCATTAACATTTTTTAGTCCGTGATATTCACGCGCGTTATGTCTCTACCAAAAAATCTTGTTAGCGATGCTTCTTGAGAGAGAGAGAGAGAGAGAGAGAGAGAGAGAGAGAGTATAATATTTTATAATTCCGCGATTATGCGTAAATGTATATTCAATACACTTGTCGAGACAGGACGCGGTATTGTGAGTACAGCCTTGAATTTACAGGCACGACTGCAACAATAGTTGAATAGAACGCGTTGGCACATCAGAAACCGCAAACCTCGACAAACCGTTTGCACGAGAGCGGACTGCCAAGTCGATATTCTGTAAACCAAAGTGAAAAAAGTAGAGAAGTGACGAAATTAACATATTGTCGAATAGATATGTTGCCCTTAGTGTAACATTTTACACGCTATAAGACTTGAAAAATATGCCAAATGCATTTCTTAAAAGGAGCTATCCGAGACAATTTAGTAATTGCAATCCAAAGTCTAAATTTTATTGCTTTACATATACCTCGCTTACTTTTGCAATTGTTTAATACATTTGCTATCAAACATTGTTGCTAATCATTATGATCCTATGTCATTCGTCGTCGTTGCGATCATGTGATCATTACTATTATAGTCACCATCATAAATATAATTTTTATTATTGTCATTATCGTCATCATCATCATCAATCATTATAATTATCATAATCATCTTTATTTCTATTTGATATCTTAATAACCAACAACGAGTAACCAACATCATAGTATGACAAGGCATGTTCTCACAGCCTTGACAGTCGACCCGACACTCCCCAGACTCGACGACTATTGAAGTAGAAACACGAACCTAAATAGCTGAACAATTTTGTCAAATTTGATAATGCAAAAGCATGAATGGAGAAAGGATGCACATGCTTACGCGATAATCTATTCAATCAAAAATATGCATATTTTTATATGCAAATACGCGATCAATTTTGTGGCTGCATATTAATTGATGCCATTTACAATTAATAATTGATGAGTGTTTATAATATATTTAAAAAATAATATTGTATAAACATGGAGAAAGAGATAAAAAAGGCGGGATAGAAAAAATGTTCTTATGTGATTCGCTTACTATTTTTGAATGAGTATTTTTAAACTACACTGAAAAAAATTTACTAAATCTTAATACAATATATACTTTTTTAGTATTAAGTAAACATTACAACTTACAATAAATAAATATTTATTCAATAAAAAATGAGATTTAAATCACATCAACGGCTCTTGTAATAAATATATTTACATTTAATATTTAAATATTAACTTAGAACAATTCAAACAAATATTTATTAAAATGTGATAATAATTTTTTGTGTACTTCATATTCTTTTTCTTCGTATTCTTTTTTTCCACGTGAAAATTATAAACGATGATAATAAAAAATTTTACGTATTAGTTGAATAATACGTTATTAGCTGAATAATGTATAACACCACATATAGAAATAAAATATAAAAAGCTTGTAAAAATTCTCGTTACATTTTAAATCCTTTTATATGTTTAAATATATACTCGTGTATTTTTTACGTCAATAATATTTTAGCATAAATTTATGAAGTCTAAGGAGGTTTTGTATGAAAAAATGCTAGAGACACAGAAAAGCGTGTAAAAAGATGTGTAAAATTGTAAATTGTCACACATTATACAATGACTCTGCCATGATAACAGAATGTGTTATATACCAGAAGTTTTGGGAAAGAAAAGTGCATTGTACAAAAGCGAATGAGTGTATAGATTGCATGACAATAGCACTTGTAGTATTCCTGTCTGAGATTATTGTTAAGAAAGATTATTTTTAACGGCCGTAAATTTGCGTCATTTCAATATATGAACAATTCGCAAAAAGGAATTTCTCGCAATGTAACAGCAGATCTTGTACACTGATATTATTGATACAAAAATTATTGTATTATCGATTTAAAAAATAATTAAAAATGACGAATATCGTTATCTAAGTAAATAAAATTAAATTTTCAGGGAAACAAGGTAAAGATGGGCCAGAGGAAAAGAAGGATGCCGACGGTGAACTTTGGGGCAACGTGGAAGCGCAGGCCGCCTTTCTCGGGCCCAATCTCTGGGACAAAACTTTGCCTTACGATGCCGACCTGAAGGTATTAAACCATGTATGTATAAAGGCGCGATACGGTAAGCCTATAATTTGGCTCTGAATTTAATCCCAAAATTCTACAAAATAAAATCGGAAGCTAAAACTAATCGTGTGTCATACGTTTTGTCTTTATTTTCGAATTACCTTTATTCATTGACGCTATCTTTATATGATTTTCTGTCTATTACTTATCGTGATAATGCGGCACATTATTGTTTCTTACATTTTCTTTAAAATCATTTTCACATGCATCTTCTCTTAAAATAGCGTTAATTTTGAAGAAATGTATTCCGTAAAATCTATATATTGTACATCCCGGAAATTGCTATATACGCACGCTATGATATATAATTGAATGAAAAATCAATGTAGTAGACCATTGTAACACTTGCTCTATTATAATTCGCCTTCCTGACTCGAGAAACCGGGAAGCCGAATATTAAGCCGCTATGCAATCGCGACGATAGCGGTCGCTTTCTCCGTTCTGCCTCGGCGGAATCGAGGAAGTTTCGGCTATTCTTTTCTATCTCCATTATTATTTTTAACCAAACTATCTGAATAATTTATTAAAAAAGTATATCTTTTTAGATAATCTTTTATAGAAACTTGTCCACGAAACTTGTCTATTTTCTAAAGAAAGCAATACTCAATCGCGTTTAATATTACGTAAATAATTCATCTTAATTTATACAGTTGCTACATGTGAATACGTGTATGATAATTAGTAATTAAAATATTTCTGTGAAGTATGAATAAATTGTATAAATAATATGTAATTTTTGGATAAACATATAAAACTCTTCGTAAACCTTTCGCCAACTTTCACCACTTGCGTTCCTTCCATCGCGATATGCCGTTTGAATCTCGATAAAAAAGCAGAGCAAAATTATAAAGTGCGAAATGAAATAGAAGTACGATAGAAAAATTTTTCTACGAAAGCGTATTCCTTCGTTGCATTTAAAAGTTCCGTTTCGAAGTAGTTTTGTATGCCTTTTCGAAATTAACGGCATGTAGAGTGTGGATAGCTTTCACATTTTATGCTAATACCACGATGGCTTCATAGGGCTTATCTTTGGAGAATTTGTACAAATTGACAAAATATTAACCGATTAGTTACCTTAATAGATAGCAATTCAATTCTAGATTAAATGTAGGTATCTATATATTCCGACTTATTATTAATTATATTGATACAAAAAAGCGTTTATGTGTTATCATTATTTATATATAATAATTATATTATTATTATTATTACGCGTAAAGAATAATTTTGCTGAAAAGTCTATAATGCAGATTTGAAAATAATTTTGTTCGACCATTAAAATAATTATTCTAGAAACTAAATAATGGTAAGTAATGTTGTAAAAAAATGTTGATATTCTAGAAACCAGTTTGAAATTCCAATCAAATTATTTTGATAGTTTAAAATTATTTTCAGATCTGTATTCAAAACTTTAGATTTGTTCTTTTCGTATATTCATTAGACACATTAAAAATAAGGATTCTAGACATCCGCCTAGTTTACCTAAGCATAAGATAGACCCTGCTCCAACTTGACAAAGTTCCGAGAAACCATCTCGGAAATAACACCTTAGATCTCTGTTGATAGTATGTCGATCTCGATGAGTTTCTTTCCGAAAACGGCATCCCCGTCGACGGTGTGGCTGGTGGTGGACAAGGTGCCATGCAAGGTAGCCAGCTTCATAAAATCAACAACACCGAAGCCGCCGGACATCAGGGACCAGCGGGTCTCCACTTGGAACCAGTTACCAAGCGTGAGAGATCACCATCGCCGAGCGAATGCTGCTCGCCGGACACCCTGAACCCACCCTCTCCCGCGGATTCCAGTGAGTAACATACAACCTTTTCGCTCTTTCACTTTTATTCCTCGTCGTAGCCGTCGTTCGTGATATCGAGATCCTGAGAAGTGTTTCACACGACTTCATACAAAAGGATCTGAAAGATTTCAGATCTTTAATAGTGTCTACAAATATCAGTACCGAATATTTTGCAGAAAACGAAGAATACTCGATAAAGTATTACATAACACAAAGATGGAATATTGAGAAATTATGAAAAATAAAGTACAGGAGCATGAAGGACGAGAGAGAAATCCAATAGAAAGTCATAAATGGAAAGTTTTACTGAAAGTAAAACGCTAAAAACGTGACGAAAGAAAGGTATAAAGAAGCAGTATTCTGATGTAAATAGTAGTAGCCGCATTTGGACCACAAGAAAGAGAGAAGATAAAAAATATACGCTATCTCAGAATCTGTATTGCGATAACGTCGAGCTTGTCGAGTATATGATAGTAAACTAGACTAACGTCGACATTGTCAATTGTTCCCCTTCCGCGTGACAGATTCCGAGGACTCGTCACGAATACAATATGGCTTGTCTCTTGTAGCGCTCTCGATGGCCTCATCGGGGCGAGATTTCGATCCACGTACCCGGGCCTTTTCTGACGAGGAACTCAAACCCCAACCTATGATCAAGAAATCGCGGAAGCAGGTGAGTCTTAATTCATTTGTGTAATTACATTGTTGTTTGGACTTCCAAATTTCTCAACTATCGTAGTGAATTGAATTCTCATCGAGCTACGTGTTTTTCGCGTAAGTTAATATAAGCGTTCTAATGTTCTTATGCTCTTTCTTTCTCTTCCGTTTGCGGCCGCAGTTCGTTCCGGATGACTTGAAGGATGACAAATACTGGGCGCGTCGTAGGAAGAACAACATGGCAGCGAAACGATCGCGAGACGCGCGTCGCATGAAGGAGAACCAGATAGCACTCAGGGCCGGTTTCCTCGAGAAAGAGGTAAATTTTCTCACAGCTGGAAATTTGAAACCGTTACATAGACTGCACTTACCAATGCAGTTGCATAATTCATAATTTAAAGACATTACCGAAGACATTTGTATATTTGAAGATATACAGAATGATCCAGACCGTGACAACTGTTAATGATAGATTCATGAGATCATTTCGAGATAAAAAATTTAATACCAAAATGTCAAGACCACAGTAGTTTTTTAAGGATTTAAAGTTTAAAGTAACTAATTGAACTGTTCGAAATTCGTGCGGTCAAGCACAGTACAGTCATGGAGTTCAGAAAAATAGAAGAGAATAAAATTAATGTTTGAAAACATCACTGCAATGTGCCACGCCTGAGCCCGCGAATGTCAGACAGATTTATTTAAACAAAATAAAAGGGAAGAACCGAATCTTTACTTTTTCACTTCATTTGCAGAATATGGGTCTACGACAGGAGCTGGATCGGTTAAAAAATGAGAACATGTTGCTACGCGACAAACTGAGCAAGTACACGGACGTCTAACACCCCGTCGTCGGCCATGCACCAATTCGAGCGACACGCAAAGAGAGAGAGAAGAGATGCGAACATGAGGGTGGACATCACATCCCTCAGCTACTACTCCCTCGCTTATAGTCGCAGCACATAGCAGCCTTCGTCTCTGCGGAGGAAGCGAAGGGGATGCGGAGCATGTTGACGAGTACCAACTCCCGAACCGACTGCCGCCGCCCTAAAGCCGACAACCAACCAACTTCCTCAGAAATCTCCGAAGATCCTCTATTCTCTATCATTCTCTTTCTCTCCTTCTCTTGCTCTCGGATAAAATTCTTATTGAGTCCTCGCTCCTTGTCCTGCTCTAGAAAAAACTCCACTTGTAAATAGTTATATGTATAGTTAGATTATATACACACATACACACATACGCGCGTGCGCGTTATGTATATATATATGAATATATATATACATAAAACATACATATATATGTATATTCGTATATATATATATATATATATGTATGTATATATATATGTATAATGCGTTTGAGGAAGGAGATGCGTTCGTTACACGTAATAAATCTGCGCATGCAGCGCACGACGAGACACGATGATTTTCCCAGGAATCTTCTAGATTTACACAGCGAGCCATATACAATGGGATTGAATTGTTACCAGAATAAGCTATAAAATGTAAAAGTAAATGAAACCATACTTCTTCGGCAAAGAAAAGACGAATCTCGTCGGCGCTGAGCACTGCCACATGTAAAGAGCTATATTGTTAAGTCGACATGGAGCGGAGGCGAGGGTGGGAGAACACGACGATTTTCTGCGCACGAGCGTATCCCACGTGGTGATGGTACACAAGTGATTCTAGTTGTTTTAATCGTAAGATAGATGATATACGTGTTTCGTTTTCATCGTTTCTTTTCTCTCTCTTTCTCTCTTCTATCTACCAATCTATCTCTATCTCTCTTTTAGCGAATAGTGAATCAATCCGGCCACGCGAGGAGTGCACTTGGAGTGCGCGAAAGGCGTCGCGACGCGACTCTATCCCTTTTCCTCTTTCGTAATATCGCCCGCTGGCCAAAACGTCGGCGGTTCGGGGCATAAACGATGGACGAGCCCATCCCGAGATATCATTTGTTGCGTAGCGAACAAACTTTTGTACAGGACATCCTCTTGTAAAATATATTTTAAGACGCATTGTGTCATTCTAACGAGCGACGGTTACAAACGCTGTGTCTTTGACGGGGTTTATCAACGCGGAACTTGAGACAAACGAAACGATACGAAACGAACCGTGTCCGAAGATCGGATCGCGTAGCCTCCCAGTACAGATGGGCGCGTGCATTGGCGGGGTTAATCGTAGGCGTTGTCGTAAAAGTAAAAAAAATATTACATTGTACACGACACGAAGAGACGACCATCGTGCTTAAATGTTAAGCTAGCTGCACAGGCTCGCGTGCACTGGCCCTTATCCTCCCCTCTTCTTTTTAAGTTTTTAGATGTTTATTTTTCCATCACCGTGAGAATCGGTGATGGCGAACGAGAGAGCAAAAGTGGAACCGATGAGAAGATATGCGCTTTTTACGAAATAGCTATAAAATTTATAGCTGCAGAAAGAGAATCTATATTGTACAGATCAATGCGAGATTGAACGACACCTGAATGAGAGCGATTTCTGCTCGTTGCAAAATTTAGTGACAATAATAGTGATCGATGTATCGTGCGTTTTCAGTAACGTGAACAAGCAAATCAGAACGACGAGCGAGATTTGTAATTCAATCGCCATGATTGATGATTTTTAAAATAATTATAAACGCCAGAGAGGGTGAAGCTCTTATTTTCATTCAAAATTTATGTATCAACGATACGTAATAGTCTGGTTTTTCTTTCAATCGTACGAGAGAGACACTCGATGCGCAAACGCGAAACATCGACGTTCTGTACATACGATATCATTTTATCGGCTGAGAGGATAAGAGAATCGATGTAACGGAATTCAACTTTTTGCGTTTAATTAACAACAAATCCGTTTTAATATCGCAGGACAACTTCGTCGACCGCGCGCGAAAATATAATTTTAGCCTCACGACATTCTTCAAATTTTTCGAGGATGTTATTTACTGTATTAATTATTTTTCATACGCATTTTTTATATAATATCAATAAAATTAAATACGTAATTATAATTTTGTCGGAATCGTAGAATTTTTATTGCCAACAGATCACTATATGTTCATACGCAGTGATCCAATTATTCGATGCTTTATAATTGTTCAAGTGATTTGCCTAAAGTTGTGCGAAATCGATTACAATTCTTCACGATTACACTCTAACAAAAAAATGCCACGTAAATGACGAAGAGTTCCGCGCGATGAATTATTAAATCAATATCTTGCGTTGGTAGATTTAGCGAACGTCTTCGCCCGATAGCATCGCAATATAATTTTAATAATGGCATACAATTTTCTTTTTCGACAATAAATCACATCGTACATTATCTGATGAAATAGCTACTGCATGGCTTATTGTTATTCCAACGCAATGAATTAAACGGAAGAGAAGTAGCGTGGTAATTTGCGTGCGAAAAAGCATAAGTAGCGGAAAACAGAATTTCGCGTTTGATTGTATACGAAGTTTCTCACGTTATTCTTTAAAGCGTATAACGTAGACTGCAAGGAAGTTTTTCAGTTATCTATTTCAAGTTTAACACGAGCCAATAGATCGTATGTGTTCTGCTTGTCACGCACACTCGTCGTCGTTAAGGGCAAAATTTTGTGAATTTTAGACAAGAAAAACCATCTTTTATCAGACCGTTTATTCACAACACGAATTTTAAATTTTGAAAATGACTTCGAGTCGTCGAGAATGTTTTCAACCATCGAAAGTCGCTTGAAAGTCGCTTGTGAAACTGAATTAATTAATCTTTTTCTCGATTATTTTTTCAGTGCTATTAATGATGCGAGGTGTGCGATATGACGTGGATCTCGGCACAAGTTATTGGCCTATAAGAAGCGCGTTAGCATGATTGACACACATCGTAATTCGATAAATAAAAATAGTAATAAATAAAATAGTAGAGAGTTATATAGCAGCGCGAGAGACAGACGCGGCTGCCGGCTTTGCTCCAAATAGAACGGTAAGAAAATGAGATAGAGGATACCGCCGCGTCTTAAATAATCGTCCGATCCACTTAAATAAAAAACATGAAAAATATGAGAAAAATTAGATATGACCACAAACACAAGAAAACCTCTATTGTATCACATTTCGAGAAATATATGTATTTGTTATTGTTTTAATTGAATCCTACGGTTGTACCATACCCAATTTTTCCATGCGTATCTCCCACTTTTCTTAAATATATTTAATAACCGAGAATTATTCTCTTATTCTATTGGTTCTTATTCTATATCTATTGATTTTGCAGATTCAAGGTCTAAATTAATCAAAGCATTTGTAAATTATAATTTATAAAAATTAACATCTTTGTAATATATTTTATAAATTGTGTTTATATGTAAGTTTTATTTAAGAAACAAAAATTAATCATTTTTGTCATGTTTATTGTTTCAAAATACAAAAAAACCGACAAACAAGGCTAATAAGAGCCAGCGCTAACAAGCGCAAGATTTGTAGATTAAAAAGATTACTTTTTAGATTTACGTCTTTTTTATTTAGATTGAACATTTCAATTCTATTTTGAATCCTCCTCAGCAAGGCAGATAAATATAAAAATATTTGTATCTGCATTGCTGAGGAGACTTCAAAGAGAGTTGAAACATTCAATTTAAATATAAAAGACGTCAATCATAAAATAAATCATAAAAGTTTATAATCATTTTTAATTTACGAAATTTGTGCTTATTAATCGCGCTAACTCTCATTATTCTTGTTATTTGTTGATTTTTTTAGAGTCTTTCTGTTTTGGTTATTATTGTTTATTTTTACTTCTATTGTTTCATTTGAATTATATATCAATATTTTTATGTATAATTTGAACGAAAGATGTATCATTAATGGCTGCATTCAGCAGAGAAAGCAGCTTTGTTTTAAACTGTTGTTTAAAATTCTTCAATATCTTGCTTTTGATTCCTTACAGATCTAAATGTATAAACCAATCATTGAAAAATTTTACAACAGTTGCAAAGCTGCTTTTTCTAGTATCGTTTGTTAAATATTTTCGCAACAACATAATGTTAATACAAAATTGTCTTTGAGAATATTAAATTGTACATAAATATATAAATTATTCTAGTAAGAGGAGTAGTAAGAGGAATTTATTATAGCTAGTAAAAACTTAAAAAAAATACTTGTTTAAAATTTTAAAAATCGTCATTTTATCATTCATACATTTGTCTTATTCAATTGAATCTACAGTTGTTTATTAGCGAGTCAATAATATTAAACAAAAAAATCCTGAATGATTTATATGAAAAAAAAAGTTTTCAATTAATCTGTTTCAATTTATAATATGTCTTTAATAAAAAAATGTCGATAAACAAAATATCTCTATGGCTAGTTTCCGAATCAAAGAAATCATTTAAAAGTTTTTTTGTGACATCCTTTTGTGCGAAAATGTTTGATATATATATATATATATATATATATATAGAGTTTGATATAAAATTCATTTCTTATTAAATTCCAACAGAGGTCTCCATAGTCTTTTCTATCAGTTTTCCTATAATAAGAGTTACGACAATGTGGTTGCAACTTTTGATTGGTTGCTAAAATCCGCCATATGTAGTCAACCGCGAGTTTCAAATGAGTTGCAATAGTCAACACATCGCGAGTTACAAGCAAATTGCAAAAAATCATGTAATTTGATGTTATCTTCCATGTTTTCCTCATTATCTAGCTTGGCAGTATAACATTTACACGAGGTTTGTTAAAGAATGTTACTTCTAATATCATACCATGTTCATTTAATTGAACTCAGTTACATGTATTTGATGAGTCATATTTCTGTATATCATCTATAGTCTTTGTAGTGGCAGCCAACTTACAGATGACAAAATCAATGCTACCAACGTAAATTTGGCTATTAATGGCAGCGGTTTGTCCTAATTTTTATTGTAGGAACACTGTTATTCTGTCCATGTCTTCTCGACCCATGGCTGTGATCTAAAATTCATTGTCAATGCTGGAAATCTAGAGTGCATGTAACGTAAACTAGATTCTCAGGGTTAGCAGTACGTAAAGCACAGATTTTTGCATAACACATAACACATAGTTTAGAGTTTTATGTTTTAATATTGATTGTTACACAATTGATATTGATTATTAAATAATATGACTTTTTTAATCTTTTACTTTAACATTACAAAAAACGAATCATTACTTTTTAAGTAATAGTAACAGTAACGCGTTAATGATGTTCAAGAGGAAAATAATAAAAGTATTTAAAAAATATCATCTATTTTATGTAATTTAAGAACAAAATATTACAGCAATAATCTTAAAACTCTAGTTTCAAGTTGTTTCCTTTCCTTTTTAAAATGCATTTTTTATAAATTATTTACGATTTTTTTCTTATTGAGATGCTTACATTTTTGTGATACAGATCTTTTTTTTCCAAAACATTTTTTTCCAAATTTAACATGTCGTATACAAATATTTAATTTATACTGAAAAATAAATTTAAAATAAACTTAAAATAAATTTAAATATAATGTAAAGTGTAGAATGATATATAAATAAATTTTAAAAAATAATTTGAGCATGTAATATAACTACGAGTATAAATTATATTAAACAAATTAATTACTGCAAATTTTAAAATCTTCTTAAATCTTTTGCTTTCAAAAAATATATCATTTTCATATAAGATAAATGTTTCAATAGCCGGACATTTAAACGTAGGTTGTCATAAATAATATAATTTATAATATTAGAAGGTTTTTAAAATAAATATTTGTATTTTGAAAACTCAAGACTATCTTAAGCAAGGAAAAATTATTTGAACCCATTATAACAATTATTAATTAAAATATTTAAATAAGTAATAGAATGCGTCAATGTACCAGTGATCGGACAGTCGGACACTGAGACGTAATAGGGTCCAATTTTGGAAAATAAAGTATGCTTTGAAAATTATTTTTATATACTACATAACTGAATTAAAAGAATTTATAATATGAACACAAGATTTTAATTATAAATAATATTGTTAAAAATTAATAAAGATGCCTGTAAAAGAAGTGGGAAGGAAACGCCCTGTAATTGGCTAAGACCATACATGATGTCTGAATTCGGTACTTCCAAATATTTTATGAGATAACCGGTTGATTTTCTTTAAATAATTACAATTATTATTTATATTTGCAATATCGGTAATTATGTCTCGAAAAAATCAAATCAAATTCAACAAGTCAACCAACAGATAACCTACCTAAAATAATTGTATTAATGGTTTCCGATTATTTTTTCCAAAGCGAAGTATTCAACATTGCAGAAATCTGCGGTGTAAAATTTAAAAAGTAAGTATATGTAACATGTGTGTATTTATGAAATAGATATGCATAGGTTATATAATGAAACGATATTGATTTAAGATAAAAAACATTTGAGACTAATATTAATTTAAATAAATAAAGTTTTATGTAACTGTCCGGACATTTACACAACACTTCATGTATTTAAGTTAATATTAATCTCAAATACGCACGTGAATCTTTGTTACGATATTAATAAATATTTCTAATTAAATTTTTTCTTCGAACGTTTCTCCACGGTGTACATGTTATGTCGGTTATTTAGTTTCCCATAGTTAAATAAGCTAACGAAAATTAGATGAAAAAGCGATTGGGCCAACGGTTTTTGAAATATGGGGACATTTGAACTCTATCATTGAAAATTTTCTAAGTCCGATGTCGAAAAATTTTTTAAGAGTTCCAGTAGTTCTGATTAGAGTTCTGTGTAGTTCTCGACGAGTTCTATCGAAAAGTATTAGGAGAAAAAGCGATTGGATCACTAAATAAGGAAATACGTACTTTGCAACCGATTTTTCAAATTTCGTTTTAAGTATATATTTTTTTTATTTTTGAATCTGTGTTGGTTTTAATCGCTGAGAACTCTTCGAAATTGTTAGAATGACAATTAACGTATCACAGAACTATTTTATAAAAACATTTCGTTATCTGACATCGTGAAAGGTGTCGTTAGATGTTCGTTACTTTTGCAAATTTGCTTAAAATAATTTATATAATAAAAAAACTAATATATTGTACTATGAAATGGATTACCATTTATCTGCGTTTTTTTCTTTCTTTTTATTGATACTCTTATTTGGACTCTTAATACATTTACTGATATCACTGACAAGAATTTTCTTATGACTACTTTGATTCTTAATAAAAATGACTCGCAGCTTACACGGAATGAAAAATACGATATTAAAAATTATAATAGTATTGTAATACCATGTACATATTTTTGATTTAGAACGATGTTGATATATTAAGACTACATTGAAAATGATTAGAGTCGAAATGAGTTTTTTGAGTTTTTTGTTGTTAATTATAATTATTTATATGAATTTTTAATGCTAATTTAAATTAAAGTTCTTTTATACATTACTGGCTCTTTGCCCTTCTTTTATACTACATTGTTTTATACATACAGAGCTTTATTACTATTTATTAATTCAATATAAAATTTTTATAAAGAATATATAAAGTTTTTATTATATTTTTCATAATAAAATTCTTTACAGATTTAAGGTAGTAGTAGCATCAAATCGACGATCAATTTAATTTGTGAGATTATAATATATTATTTTAGTCGATTGTGTTACAAGTCCAAAAGTAGTCGGTGCAATCATAAAGGTATCTGATACAAAAATATTTAAAATATACGTAGAAATATTATTATCCTCTATTAATATAATGATATTGTAATAAATTAATCTAATTTATATTCTCTATTTATATTCTCCGTGCCCTATTGTTCGTACGTTTTGTAAGTGAATCACACGCTACGTTTGCTTAATAGATTGTAATATTGATATGTATGCAAACTGTTAATTGTTAATAGGAACAGTCAAACGTGCAAGACAATAATTTATTGTCATGTCATGAATATTCATGTGAAATTTATATGCGCAACATAGCACACTTTTCAAATATTTTTCGGATAATTTTTATTCATGAAGTAGATTTCATTGTCCCCGTCATTTTTCTTATAGATAAGACTGAATATTCATATAATATAGATAAATATAAATTATCTAAAGAATTTTTAGCAAATTTAATAAAGTCACTTGTTTTGGAGCAAATGCTCTTTAAACACTTATATATTATATTAGGTGTTGGAATTAATTCGTAGCGTTTTACAAGTGATGGGAAGTACTTTCATTAATGTATTTTTTAATGCTCATGTGAAATAAATAACATTCTTTCATTAAAAACGCTACGAATTAATTCCAACACCTAATAATATATAAATATATAACAATGCAAATAATTTTTTGTTAATATATAATTAAAAATATATTTGTGTACATAAAAAACTTTGTTTTATTTATTATTACTACTGCATATTATTTTATATCATATTATTTTGTATTATTATTAATAAAGAGTTTTTAATATTGTAATGGAAGTAAAATTTATTTGTCATAGATATTATATCATCATAAATAATGCTTAAAAAACATCTTTGATAAATAACATACTTTTATTAAAAACATGTATATTGTGAATATTCTCCATAATATCTACTAATATTACTTTCTTTCTATTTGTGAGTGCAATATTTTTTATTTAAATACAATTTGGAACTAGATAATTATACATAAAAGATCAATAAGTATTCCATATAAATAAAAATTAAATTTTATGTAGAATAAGTAGAATAATTATATTTTTCAATCATATATATTTTTATTATTATCATTTTTATAATTTCTTATATAAATAAATTCTTATGTAAATACGATATTTTAATAGTAAATTGTGTAACAAACATTCTTTAAAATTTTTGTATAAACTGTATCGAGAATTGTTCTTAAATTGTAAGAATAAGTGAAAAAGTCAAACGAAAATTAATTGTAATAAATAATATAAGAAAAAGATATGTAAAATAAAAATATTTGTATATATAAATTTTAAGCAACAAAGTTATCTATTAATGTTAGAGATATACTTGAATTAAAAAATTATGTAGGGAAGGGAGAGTAAAACATAAATACAACAAAATAGACGATCGTTTCCCTTTAGGGATAGATGATAGCGTATCGATACGTTAAAAATCGTTTGGAAATTGCCATTTAGATAAAAAAGAAATGACTTTTTTTACAAAATCGGTTTGAAATAGTCTCAAAGATGATATTTTGCAAAGTTAGATATTAATTTGAAATTATTTCAAATTAATCTTTTTGTAAAAAAAACGTTCCTTTTTTATTTAAAGAGCAATTTCCAAACGATTTTTAGTATATGCGTATCTCTCATCCATATTTCCCCTACTACCTCTATCGACAATGATTGAACGTTACTGAACTATCGTTAGTTGTACGTTTCACATCACAAGAGACGGATGCATCATGTGGAAGACCACGACCGTGATCTTCGTTCTTGCCATTGGCATAGCTCTTTTATTCCGGTAAGTTATAGTTACGAATTACTCATCTCTTACATCAAAATATTTTTATAGAGTAAAATGTCTTTGACTGATGAAATTTTCTTTTTTTCTTTTTTTCATATTGGACTTATAAATAATTAATTGATATTCTATGTAATTCCATTACAAGGATTTAATCGTCAATTCATTCATAGAACCAGTCCTGTAATTGTACCGGATTTGCCCGAGACATTCTGGGGGTCAGAAAGAAATAAAGAAGCTTCGAAAGAAGTACGATCTTTTACTATTGCAGTATCGAAATCGGTAAGTTGAAAAAGAACGATGTAATTTATCTATCAAGGAAAATGATATGCTTTCAAGGTTGCATTCTCTACGCCTTTATATAACGATGTAAGATATTATTACATTGTAACAAACAAAAAGTATTTTAACTATTAATAAATATCAATTTCACAGTATTACTTGCATAACAGGTACGTATTTACGACCAATGCGCACTTTGTAGTTGCTATATCTCGTTTAATATCGCATAATATGCTATATATAGATACGATGCTATCAGTATTATTATGTTACTATATGCACTATAGTTGATATTATTATCTTATTGATATCATCTTACTGAATTTTTTATTAACGACACTGTAATTTCTATTAACGAAAATTAATTATTATAAGTTACACTTGCAAGAATTATTACATAATCAAATACGAGAAGTCCGTTTTCATATTCGTTGTAAACATCAGTTTATTCTTATCGTCTGTCAAATATTAAATAAAGATAAATGATGTTTACAAGTGTTATCAACGCAATACGAAACGTACTCATGATAAATTATCAATATTTGCACTTTGCAATTAATTAAATAGTGAACACTTTTAAAATTGTACAATTTTTCGATGAAAGATTATTGCAAACAAAAAAATAAAAGATATTTTAAAGTTCGAAACTTATACTTTAGCATACTTTCGATTGTTTTTGAAAACATCGTTATCTTTACAGTTTTATTTTATATAAATGCCTATTAAATATCAAAATTTAATTATAATATCTATTATTTCAGTAGTTTAATTCTTTGCATTTTTAAGTTTCTCAATAAAATTTTGGCGCGCAGTTCCAAACAACTACAAATACAAAATACATGCATTATACACGTATATAATATATACAAATTCACATTGAATTATTTAAACATTAAAGATCCAGCTTTAACTTTTAATTCCTATTTCCTAAAGATCATATTAAAAGAGAAACGCGTAATTATTTTCGACTAAAATAAAATTTCTTGAGTAAGGTAATTGATGACCTAAATGAACGGCTCAAAAACAGAAGAGAATTGGTAGAACCATTGGAGGATACTGCGTGGACTTACGGCATGAATACGACTTATTTGAAAGATATTCTTGAATATTGGAGCACAAATTATAACTGGACTGAACGGCAAGCGTTGCTCAATAAGTATCCTCAATACATAACCAATATACAAGGTAATAACAGTTTTTTATTCGACTGCAGTCTTTTGAATGAGTCTCGTGATTGTTTTGCGATAGTTGAAAGACTTGCTCCAAAACAAGTATTTAATGAGTGGCATTATTAAGTATCTCTTTACTTTTCTTTTTTCTCAGCATTCCTTATTTCCCTTTTGTTCATTATTAGCAGGAAATAATAATAATGTCGGCCTAGATAATCTAACTCATCGTAAAAGCTCCGTTAGAGTACTTTACCGAAAGGATAAGCGGTTTTATAATTTGTAGCACATTGAGAATATTTTATTGAATAGATATAAAGAAAATATATTTTCATTTTTATGCCAGAATAAAAAATATAAATATACCACATGATTAGTTGATCTTTGACTCCGTAAAAGAAACAATTGCTATTTAGCATGTATATGAGCTAATGAAATTTCATTCAAAGTATTAAGCTAATTGAATAAATTGATGTCTACAGGTCTGGATATACATTTCTATCGCGTGAAACCTAATGTTTCGCGACCCAAATTAAAGATTTTGCCACTGTTAATTGTTCACGGTTGGCCAGGATCGGTGGTGGAATTCCAAAAAATTATTCCTCTGTTAACGACACCGCGTCCCGACAAAGACTTTGTGTTTGAAGTGATCGTACCTTCGCTTCCGGGATATGGATTCTCACAAGCGGCCGTACGACAAGGATTGGCTCCTGCGCAGGTAAAGTTTACGGAAAAAAATGTCTAATAATCTTATTAAATGGCGTAATATTCACGCCCCCTATTAGCAAGACAAACTCTTCATTCGAGTACGGAACGCGATAGTTTTAATAATGAGCAGAGTGATATAAATAAAAGTAATTCGGACTCAATTTCTGCCAAGATTTTAAACGAAAAAACTTGTTAGTTTCAAAGAGCAACTAACGGTCTTTCATATATTCCATATATAATCGATACTCGTTCTCTAAATGAGTCTTGATATTCTTTATAGTAAACAGTTTTTCATTAAACAGTATTACAAGAAATGTACAATGTATTTAATAAGAATTGTTAAACATTCCGATAATCGAAATTTCAAATCCTGTAGATACATTACGTGTTTCCACACGTTATCTAAGATACACACAACATTTCCAAGCATGATGTTTCACAATTTTAAACTAACATTAAATATCATTAAAAGAATTGAAGAGATTCTTGATTGTAACAATTCTTGTTGAATATACTGTAATTTTATTATAATACTGTTTAATAAAAAACTGTTTATTAAAGAATACAATCACGGAATATATGAGATCGTTAGTTGCTTCTTCTAAGATCGACAAAAACTAATAATACGTAATATAATCACTGTCAATCGTTTGTCATTTTCAGATAGCTGTTATATTCAAAAATCTTATGTTGCGTCTTGGTCATGATAAATTTTACACGCAGGGCGGAGACTGGGGCGCCGCTATTGTTACGCATTTATCTACTCTTTTCCCGAATAAGTATGTCTTTTTTACTATCATCACTTACATACTCTTTTTTATCTATCATTACTTACATACTATCATTGATGATGACTTGCTAAATAATTCAATACATAGGAATACAAAGTATGAAAAAGATAATCTTTTTCAGTGTTCTTGGCACTCATTCGAACATGTGTATGGGTAAGGTAAAGTCCAGTATGCTGTGGAGACTCATCGGTGCCCTTGTTCCATCGCTCGTTGTCGAGAGCGAATATGCCGATAGAATGTATCCTTTTGGATATCACATGGGTCGACTTCTTGAAGAAACTGGATACATGCATATACAAGCTAGTAAACCAGATACTATAGGTACTTTATATATATATATATATATATATAATATTTACAATATTTCAATTAAATTATTAAAAAATAAAGACAAAATCTTAGATTAGATTATGTAAATATGTATCAATGTAAATATGTCAATACTTCTTTATTTAAAAATATATGATTTGCGAGATTTGAGAGTTTGCCAGTTTAAAGAACTATCAAAAGTAATTGGAAAATATTTTTAAAGGTGCTGCCGTGGGAGCCTCGCCAGTCGCATTGGCAGCATATATTTTGGAAAAGTTTAGTACATGGACGAATCCAGAGTACAGATTTCGAGCGGATGGTGGTCTCCTCGAAAAATACACTTTAGATGAGCTTTTAGATAATATCATGCTTTATTGGGTTACCAACTCTTTCACTACGAGTGTACGACTTTATGCCGAACAGTTTACGAAAACTGTTATGGCGAGTGGTATCGATGAGTACGTTTTTCTTCTAATTGCAATTCTACTAAAAATGTTCTATATTTGAAAGAAAATAACAGCTTTTGCTTTATTTCTATTGATGAGTATGTTCAATTTCTAGCTTGCCTGTTGATGTGCCGGCAGCGTGTGCGGTATTTCCTTATGAGCTAGTTTATCAACCGAAAAGCATTCTTGGCAATAAATTTACTAATCTGATACAATTTAATCATTTGCCACGAGGGGGCCATTTCCCAGCATTTGAAGAACCGACTCTTTTAGCGGATGATATCTTCAATTTTGTGTTCACGGTTGAAGATATCAGGAAGAAAAACAATGCTAAAAACATGCCAAACGCAGAGAAGAAAATAAAGGAGCCTACGAAAATTTGAAAAAAATATTTAGCTGTGTTATTTTTTTAATTTATGAGAGGATAATAACAAGCGAAGCAACAAACACTGGATTTTATCACTTGTAGAAAACAATGTTGTTACATTTTTTTAAAGTTTGTATAATATAGACATGTACTTTGAATAAAATGCTTATTTTTCTAATGATTTATTTTCTTCAATAAAATGCCTATTTTTCTAATTCTTTATTCGATACTATTTTCGTATAATTATATGTTTAAATTTTTATTTAAAAAGTTATCGTTAAAAAAAATATTTCCTAACATAAAAAATTTCTTTATTTTATTGTTTATTATTAATAATAAAAAATTTGAAAAATTTGAAAAATTATTCTAATATGTTATGATATTAAAAAAGAAATTTAGATTATAGTACTAAGAATAGTATTATAATCTAAATTTCTTTTTTAGTATCATAACATACACATATTAGAATATTTTTTCAAATTTTTTCAAATTTTTAAAAGAAGATATAATTTCTCTTTTTTTAAGCAAACACTTGACACATGGAACACGCCATATATACGTATATATTTTATCACTGTGTCATAATTGTTATTTTGCTTTATGATAAACAGATGTTGACAAGCTTAATATGTTAATATAAATGACTATGCAAATGTAAGATTAAACACTTCACTGATATCTGTCTTATTGTTGGAATAATATTCATTTTTATCTAATGTTTTTACATTCGCAAATAGCAAACAAATATACATAGAAATTTATACTTTTTATTTAATCTCATCTATCGTATAATCGTACTAAATATATATTATATATTAAGTACGATTATACGATATATATATTAGCGAAATTGTAGAAAATATTGAACCTTTTCCAGGAATGTCTTTCTAAAGGATATGATTCTCTGTCCGCTCTTTCGTATCGTGACTCTTGGAAATTGAGGCTATCCAACCTATTCACAGATGACCGGACAGCTCTCGGTAGGCGGCAAGCAACAAAGGACCCTATAAGAAGTCTGTAGAAGGGGCAGCGACAGACCCTCTCCGATTCCCAAACGTGACGCATGATGCGTGTAAGTGCGACGAAAACAAATTGTTTGTGTTAGATAATTGACATTGGCAGACTTAAAAGTCTCGATCTCGGTTTACTTTCCAGTGCTACTGCAGATAGTGATAAATATATGTATAATTATCTTGTGCTGATTAAGAATTGTTCAAGTGAAATCAAATTGAAATCATACATTTAATTTTGTGTTGCCTTTCGCAAATAAATATTAAGAATATTTTCATGTATGTATATCTATAATTTTGTATATAAAATTAATTGAAGTATAACCGATTCTCGATCTTTTCCTAGATTGCATTATATTTAGAAGAAAGTAATCAATTGATTAATATAGGAACGATCTTTCAACGTGAAATTACGGTTCCTGTTGAAAATACGTGCCTGTTGAAATAATTAGGATGTGTTTCACTGACGATTTCAGAAAAATCTTTTAACTCAGTAAAGAGTAACAAACGTACAGAACGAAGAAAGGAGTCAACGCACAAGAAAAGGGTATTATTTCTAGATATATCTAGTTTTCGAAGGATCCCTGTGGTCGTAGAATGGTCACAAAGGGCGAGGCCCTGGTCACAAATAAACGAGAGTTATCAATTGTTTGCAGATTGTCAATACGTATAGTTACAGTCAGAGTTCAGTAATGTCGCGCGTATTACAAGCCTGTTTCTCCACTCATGCAGCAATTTATCGTCGATTAGTATTATTACGTAATTGCAATGCAGTTTCAAAGCATCAACATCACCATTGTGAAGATTTGATCATATTTCTTTCCCCGAGATCTCGAAATTTCCGCACAATGACAATCACCTTGGCGAAGTAAGATGACGTTACGTATCGTCTGCGGTTACATGTGATTTCTTTCTTTGTCAGCGAGGAACATTGGGCTTACCGCGTGTGGGCCGTGTGGCGACAAATTCCAACCGACAGCGTGGGACGATCAGCTTGAAACAAGAGGGAACCGCGTCGACCACGTGACGGCATAAAGTGCAAGACGCCGGCGCGGTGTAATCATTTCGTTCCGGCGATATGACAGGCGGGAGGATGGGAGCAGAAGGAGACCCGACGACAATAATCGTCTACGCGGATGTTTACACGCAGGAAACGCCGAGCACGTCCGAGCATGAGCTCAGGTGAGTGTGTGACGTACGTGCGTGTGTGCGTGCGTGCGGGCGTCTGCGGACAGACAGATGCGTGCGTACGCGACAAACGTGCGTGATGTTATGCGTTCGTTACGTCGAGGTTACGTCGAACTTCCCGAATATATACTACATATTGCTCATCGTTAGCCTGTGCTGTCATTTGCCAAGGAAAAACGGTCACTGACCGGCGAAAGACTTAAGACCATGAGTAAAAATAAGAATGGACCGCCGAATTAATTAAGGTACATCAAAAAAATTATAATTGTTTAACGTTCCTTCTTTTATTTCGTATATTATATCTTAAAGTGAAAGGATGAGATGATTGAAACGTATCACTGATTAAACCTTGCTCTTCTCTCGTTTCTTCTTAGATAAATACTTGCTGATTGAAATAATTAAAGAAAAGAAAACAGTGTAAGAACTGCGTGCAAAATGATCGAAATGAAAATTGAGATAAATAAAAGTGAGATAAAAATGTGATGATTTTCATTGACTAGATTGTTCCTTTTTATAAATATGAGCGGAAGAGAATTTGTAATTTTTTAGCAAGCGTCTGCGAAACTTTACCTTGGTTTCAAAGGTCTAACGAACACAATGCACATACAAAAGTTTTCTGTTACGGTCTGTTTGACATTCGTGGTACATACAATTCGCACATGAGCCGGCACCGTGCAACGTGATGTGCAACGTCGCGCGGTACACACCTTAACATTAAATATCCCGTCCTTCCTTTTGTACGGCGATATCTCGTCCTCGGTGGGTAGCTTCAAGTGCCGGGGTAGTGTTATGTATCTCCTGGACACTTTGCGTAACTCGACACGTGCTAACTCGGCGACTACTTAAATGCGCGAATTTTCCGAGAAACTAATGCTTGCACAGCGCAAATGAATCCTCTCACACGCGTGCCAAAATGACGCAAGAAATTAGTTTAGCGCACTAAATGTAGCAGAAATAGCGGACTAAATGTAGTTGTCAGAATCGCGTATCTAAATGTGACAATGATGATTCGCCACGCTGAAAGCTGAGAATTTCTGCACGCGAACGTGAACGCTAACAAATAGCGGCTATTATAATTTGTACGGAATATATTCTTTGGGAGACGTTGGCACGGGAGTTCCAATTTTTTTATCCTCGCACGCTTCTCTCGCTTGCTTGAGAACCGGTTTCATATCGACCACGTTTACATGCGCGTCTCAAAAAGGAGGCGCGACGTGAGCCAAGAAAGGAGCGTAAGGTACCTTTCGACGAAGCGCAAACACTTTATTTGATATTCGGCAGCGTGAGGAAAGAAAACGGAGAAATCCCGGCGCGAAACGTGCCAGAGAATCGGATATAGTCGAAGAATCTGGCTAATAAAAATTGCAACGGTTTGTAAATAAATATATTGCAGTGTACTTTGATATGTTACGTGAATCTGCCATTCTCGATCATCTGCTCGATTATCTGATAGTGATTTCCACGCAATTCCCACGCTATTTTCAAGCGCAATTTTCAATTAATTAAGCTCACGAAAGGTTTTGTATCATGACGGTGTTAAATGTTTGTTATATATCAATAAAGCGCGTATTTAAAGAGACGATTATCTGTTGCAAACATAGTTGCAAACGAAACTTCAGTGCGTCGCGTTACATTAATTAACATTAATTGATTGCTTTAGCCGTTAAAAAAATACAATATGTTTTCGGATAAGTATCAGAAGTCGTATGATTATCGTAAGCAAAAAATAATGGAAATGAAAAAGGAGAAATCTAATTGGAAAGTTGAGAAAAAAAGCCTCTTTGAGTAAGTTTGCTTTTAAGTACGCATATTTTTATCCGGCCTACTCGAATTCACTTTCAATCGCGTGCTTTTAATTGCGTAACTCGTAATCGCAATTTATCACGTTTAACGCAATCAGCGCCGAATATTTGACAATTCGTTGTGTGCATCGAGAGATGTTTACGCGAGAAGATTGAATTTTAGCAGGAGCAAGACATTGTTGTAAAACAGATCAATAGTTCTAGAGCGACCAATTCGCCTTGGCCGTGACTATAATTATATACATGCTAATTTTTTTACTAAACTGCAAAGGCACAAGAAACTAATCAGAATGTTATATTTTTACAAATATACTTGTTTGAAAATGCATTTGTTCTACGTGAAGTATATGGCGAGGTTTATTCCAGTCTTCGTATATTATTCAAAGAACAGAAATTCTCACCGAGTGCCCTTTGCTCAATTTATGTTAAAATATGCTCTGTCGAACCGACAATCTACATCGTGGTACTCTGTAATCTACATAGCGGATAATCCACGTTGGTGAGCCAAGTATTGAAAAATACTTCATTTAATTTCCTTTCGAAACGTTTCATAAAATATATATACGCACGGAAAGAATGATTTTGCTCAAGTATTAAAAGTTTAATTTAGATCTGAAAAGAGTTTTATTGGACCGTCAAAATAATTATGTATAGGACGTTCAAACATAATGAGAGGTACCGCAAAAAGTTTTGATATTCGAGCATACATGATTTTGGTGATCTAATAAAATTATTTTCAAATCTATAATAAATTTTAAATACTTTCGTAAAATCGTTCTCTTTCCATATTGTTCACGTTTCACGTTTCACGTTTATCATTAATAAAATTGTTCTGATTCGGAAACAAACAATTAAATGAAACATAACAAAATTGATTGAATGTTTTCTCGTCATGCACCAGATTGAGATACACGGTAGTGCAAATACAAGCAATTAGATGTACACTAACTCATCATTAACGGTTTGAACGGCTATCAGAGATGCAGTGTAATAACTGTGTATAATAATAGGCAATTGTATTTCTCCATTCTACGCATCGTCAACAAGAAGTCAATTAAAGACCAGTGATGTGAGATACATTTCTTCGAAATTACCTTAATTTATTTACCATACCGTTAGCATGCGATCTCTTTCGTTAGACTTTCGCGAAGTTAATTAACACACAAGCAGTACAGTCACCGTGTTAAATCCACGCAAACATCATCGCTCAATCCTCTCCCGTATCCTTCACCGTCTACGTCATACGGCATTACGATACGCACATTCACATATTCATTGCATGCCTGTACAGTTACTCGTATCATGACACACAAAGCTGAATCTTTCTCTGTTTTTAGTTGGTAGTTGCTTATTGTCGGTATCGCACGAATTTTTCCGCAGTTTTCACCTGGATTTTTCGCCGATGGTGAGATCGCGGAAGATTAAGTATGCATCGTGCGACGGCGGGGCTAAATACTCGACGTGTGTTAAGAATGCGTGAAATTAAAGATACGCGTGTTTGTTAAACGCCCAGCGTGATACGACTACGGTGCACAACGATATTTTTATTTATATCCTTATCCATCGAAATATGTTCGGCCACGGTAAATCGCGCAAACATAAAAAAGAGACTAGCAAGAAACATCACATTCGCAACTGGATACACTTGAAGAAAAAGAAAAACAATGAGGCTAACCTCTTTGCGTAAGTTCCGATTTTTTTTTTATTTAACTCTATTCATTACGACGATCGTTCTCGCGTTTCGCAATCCGCAGTTCTTTCCGTCGAGCTCCAGAAAACTGAGAGCTGCAAGAAATAACAGGACCCGGTTATTTCTTATTATTTCGATGACTTCGATCTTCCGCGATGTGGAAAATTTGGAGCAGAATTTACCTAACGTCATTCGTCGCGTTTCCATTGTCACGAATCGACGATGTTTACGCGAGAACCGTATTTTCGTGTGGTTCTCCACACCGATGTCTCCAGTCTCGATGATTTTCAATTCACGCGGCAGCTCCACTGAGTTCCACGCTCCACGAATCCCTTGTCCTGCATAGCGTGCGCGCGCGTATTATACGTGCGTGCACACGCATCTCCTGCGTGAGCACGACGACGAAATCGTTCGAGATGCCTTTGTGGCTGTGCAGTTACGATCGTATCCGTCATCGATCGCGGCGATCGCGACCGTACCAACGGCAAGAGTGAAACTCCGTAACAATACTCGTGTTACCGCCAACGGTGCCGGCGGAACGATGCGCTTTAAAAATCCGTTGTGGCAGCATGGCAGTTACGAGTAAGTAAGGGAAAAAGGTTTTTTTCGGTGTGAATGGGTTGTAGTTGTAGGTTAAGCTTGCCCTTTGCTCATCCTATAATCCTATCACGTGTTCTCTCCCGGTTGGACATGGTTGAATTCTTTCGGTAGCTCGCAGGAACGACCGGCTCGCACTGGCGCCGGCGAGTAAAAGTAAAAACTTGGTATCATCATCTACAAAGCCTACTCGCCTAATCGTGTCGTCTATTCAATTTATTCGATTAAACATCCGATTCTGGGAAATCCTACGTTTATTCTCTGTTTTATTGATGATTTGTAATATTTTTTATTTACAGTTATAAAATTTGGAACTAAATGTTTTGAAATTAATTGATTTAATTAACTAATTAGTGTAATTAAATTTAGTTAATTCAAATGTTTAATTATTGGAAATAAATTAACATAGATATAAAAAGGCTACATGGATAAGACATCTAGCTAATTGAACTTAATTAATTAAATATCTTGGTCCACACTCAATCTTTTTACATTTTTATGTTTTTGTTAATTATTTGCAATAATTAAAAATTTAAATATATTGTATTATTTGCGATTGCACACGTTAAATAAATGATCAAAAATAAAGATTGAAAATGTTCATTATTATTTATTATGTAAAAAATTTAAATAATTTATCAAATGAATAGACGATAAGATTAATGACTTTGAACAAGGATTAATTAGGCCGACAGAATACTGTGACAATTTTCTTTGAATTCCGTGCTTCGATCAATACCGTACAAAGGTTGGTATTTGTAAATACTCCATGAGAGGAATCGTAAATGTGATCTGATGATCGGATTCAGTGATTTCAAAACTCTGTTAGAAGAAACCTACTTCGGGATCGCCTACTTTCTCTCCAATGACCATTTTTTCGTGCATGCACACATATTCACCGAATAAAACTTCACAAAATGTTAAGTAACAATCACGTAATAAATATAAAAATAAATTGATAAGAGTCACTTTTCTAAGCTTATTAGAATTTATTAGAATTCCCTTTTCTAATTATATTTTCTACTATAAGTGTACTCTTAATTAAAATAGCAAGAATTTCTAATCTTTAAATGTGTAACGAATGACTTACCATTTTTTTATACTTTATCCTATTTTTTCTTTTCTCTATAAAATCATAATTTTAATTTTTTTTGTTGGATTTAGCATTTAATTACTTGCTCCTCTTTTTATAAGTATAAAAGTTACTGCCCGAATACTGCTTGTAAATAAATGCAAAATGTGTTACTTTTTTAATTAATGCCAGATGCAAAATGCAAAATAATTAGAAATATTTTTTAATTAATCTTTAATTTTGTTATTAGTTGGTAACTAAATTTCGTAAAACGTTAATTAATTTTTTTCTGAAATTTCATTCATTTTTGGTATGGTTTTATGTCGTATGTGTGCAACCTCTATATACGGCACTGTCGTATAACACGTGTAAAGCTCAGCCAAGGGTGGGATAAGGTTCTCAGGGTTCAGGTCGAACAGTTTCACGACGACCGTTGACGGTGCATGGTTGCAGCACTCGTTTTGCAGTACCGGTATGCGTTTCGCACAGTCAGCGTTTTGATTCAAATTTTCGGTTACGTGCAATCTAATGTTCGGTTTCGATCGTTTCTATCTAGACAAGTGATCTAATAATTATTAAAAATATTTTACATGCATATTAAACAGAAAAAATGGTCATCTGGACATTTTACATTTGGAGCACGTATGGACCGTCATTAATTCATCATCATTTATTTCATATTAATTTAATTAATTATCTTACAAGTTGACTAACTTATCATTAATATTCTAATCATTAGAAAATAAATTGCAAGCTAGAAAATAAGTATGATGCAATTATACACGCACTGAAAAAAAATTGTTCATTTGATTAGATTAATTTAATTTGTCTTTATGTCTTCCGATGAAGAATTATATTTGATCAGACATATTGTAAATTTATATACATTCTCCACAACGAAAGAAATAAAGACAACAATTAAATTAATTTAATCAAATAAACAATTTTTTTTCAAAATAATGTTCTTAGCGCAAGAAATTCTCGGAAACTTTGAAAGAAAAAATAGTTTTTATTTTCGATTCTTTTAATTGCCATATTTTTCCGATTTTTTTTCTTTTAACAATTTCAACGTTATTTATCAATGATTTTAAAACATAAATTTCTTTCACATATAAGTGTTCGAATAAGCAAGTAGTTCAACAATAAAGTTTGTGAGCATTTATAAAAATTCTGTTAATTTATGAATTAATTTCTTTCTGTTAAACATTGAATGTTAATAAAAAAAAAAACAAGTCAATTAAGTGACGAGTAATGCTAGACATATTGAACAAAATAAGAAATACAAAATTGAACATAAGAAATTAACATTATTTGACATAAAATCAGAGGATTTTTCCTACTCTGACTCTTTCTTAATCTCTTATCAATATTCCACTTCCCTTATTCTGTTCATTGTCTAAGTTTTTACTTTGTTAAACGAAAAATGCTTGTTTTATGCATGTATTCTCATAGATGTGTTAACAAGTTGCCTATGTTAAAGAAAAACTTATAAGTAACAAAATTATTAGTTCAAGCGTAATATACTTTATTTAAAAAAATACTCTTTTGCAATAGAAAAAATATGTTCTGTACGTTATCACGGAAGTTTTGTATCTCACACATTATCGCAAAAGTTTTTTGGACAGAACTTATACTTGTAGTATGAATGATAGTAAAAATATATTACTGACTATTTTCAATTTTTATTATTAGTCTCGGAATAATGTTTTTTTTAAATTTTTCTATATTTTTCGGAAAAAAATCAGGTTCGTTTCTTTGATTTTATTTTTTCAAAAAGAACAATTTTGCTAAATCTAAAAAATTCGCTAGATTTGGATTTGAAAATAATTTTATTAGCTTATCAAAATAATTATATATACGGAATCTCAAGTATAATAATAATGAACGATGCTGCAAAAAGTTTTGACATTTTAGCAACCGGTTTGAACGTATATAATTATATTCGATGATCCAATAAAATTGTTTAGCTCTAGTTAAATTTTTAGATACTATTCAACAAAAAAGTGTAAGCGAAATTAGTCTGAGTCAATCGAAGTCTGATAAACTTGAAACCCATTGTTAAAAATAATAGAAAATTGGACTTGTGTAATATTATGTTACGGAATTGATTACCGTTATAGTTGTTTGTATTTCATCATGAACATGTTGCACGCATAGTATAATGTATTCATTTGATGATACATGTATACCAAAAGCATTGTAGTTACTACATTTTCGCATTTTATTCATCAAAAATTCCATTCTACGTTGACACTTCATTACCGGTTTTTTAATTTAATTCACGCGATTTTTGTCAGCGGAGCTGTAATTGTATGCACGTCACACACTACTGCGTCTCACCTTGACTTTGTACTCGCAGACTTTTTCTAAGAGCAAATTCATGTATTAATAAAATGAAGAACGTAATAAAAGAACGCGAGAAATGGTATTAGAAATTTTTATGAAATTATATTATCATTGTTCACTATTAATTATATTATCGTTATTTATATAGACACTAGACTTCGATTTTTCAAATAATTATATAAAAATAGCAATAATCCAAAAGTCTACAGCGTGAAAACGTTTTATTTATCACTTTAACATATCTTAATACACTGAGACATTAAAATAATCGTGCTATATTTATTCGAGCATTTTAAAAACGCTGAATAATGTTATGAATTATTGCTACATAATTTTCATCATTATTTTTTTTTCTTTTTATGTAATGTTTAATTATTTTATGAATATAACTGCAATTCAAAAAAATTATATACGATAAAATCTTACGCTCCATCGATCAGTGTAAAAAAATCTGGCGCGTGATCGTAATTCTATTGTCATCTACGTACGAAGAAACGAAGGTTACACATTGACTGCGAAATAGCTTTTGTATTGATACGAAATATTTCAGCTGCTTTGTAGCACAGCTGTAGTTTTCTCTCCAAGACCTAAACGAATACAATTGACGGGGAGGGTAGGCCTAGGATCCCTAATATTATATAGCTAAAACTTATCGTTTGACAACGCTATATGGGGATTTTCTTGTCCTTTCTTAAATCAAAGGACGATTTCCTGTCCAGTCATATGTATACATTTTAAAGAAAATCATAAATTTTCTGACAATACTTTCTAGTATATACTTTCTAGTAATTGATTTTAATAAATAGTTAAAAATTGTGTATTTTTATAGAAAAGGTGATTAAAATGAGTTGTAAATTCTGAATATATAAGATATCTTTTATATAAAATTAATGATAAAAGAAATATAAGAAAGAGAACGCATGCGTATATTGTTCTGAGAACGGAGTCTGTAATAATTATTTCAAAACAAGGCTAAAATATTTTTAAAGTGACTTTAAGCTCTATTTTATAATTTTTTTTTTCGGAAAAAAGAAAAAAAATGGACTGGAGATAAATGTTCTTCGAGAGCTAAGTAATTAATTATGTTCAGTCATTAATTAAATTTTGATCGACAATATGATATGCATAGATCTAGTTAACGTTCATTAGCTTTTATTAGCTGACAGAATGTCGACGGTATTCAGTCCGCTAACGCACTCCACGTGCTCGAGATTTGATCAATTGGGACGTAATCGGCGCGAGCGATGTACCAGATGCGACACAGATTATATACGTAATCGTAATAAATCTTTTACGACAGAAGATTTGTATGATTGTTTACACAAAATCGCGCCTATCAACGAGCATGTATATTTAGAACGTCGACTCATGAGCAT